CCTATACGGTATATGAGTCATACCATAACAATGACCTATGGTTAAGCAGTGTTGGCTGTGTGATGTTAATATGGCGATGACAATAATCGGGAGATGGTGATCAGACAACGACGATAGTAGCGACAATAGTGCCTTTGTTAGGCCATGGTGGTCAGAAACACTTCATTTGACCATAATTATGAGTATGAAAATTTTTTAATTTGATTTTGAAGCTTCTAATCCCAATGTGTATCAAAATTAGTGCTTGATTAAGAGATTTTTTTAGGGACAAGTGGCTCTAAATAAATGAACATCAATAAATCCTACTCTAACCAAGTACCGAGTCAGTCATACAGTCTATTTAGTTACAAAAAATATTCTCATATATGAATAATATATAACAGTTTATTTTTCAGATATTTTTATGAGAACAAGCCCCATAAATATGAAAGATACGAGCTTCAAAATATTGTCTAGTGGTGGTTGCGTCAGTCAGGCACTAGTGGTTTGAACACAATTGTGATAACAACCAATCAACAATGGCAGGTGCAACGGTGTTAGCCACATCAATGTGGTCTGGTGGCCGTTAGGCGACACTGGTTTGACAATATTGTGGACTCGAAGGTACTGACCAGATAAAGGCCATAGTGTTCTGGTAATGGCAGTGACTTCTTGGGCATCGACAGAGACATAGTGGTCTAACCAAAATGGTTTTGATAAAGCAGTGTCGGCCAGGTGATGGTGGTTTGATAGTGTCAACAACTGAAAGATGGTGTTCTGGTAATCATGATAGTGGGTCCAGCAGTGTCTTTTGTTAAGTGATGGTGGACCGATGACTGCGGCGGGGTTTGATAGCTTTGGCTAGGCAATACTGGTTTGATGGCAGTGGTGGTCAAGTGATGGTAATGGCAACAGTAACACTGGTTGAGCGACGGCAGTTTGACAACGACAGTGTACATTGAAAGTTATGGTGATATCGCGAAGATAGTAGTGGTCTATTTATAAATTCTGGAAGTGACATCCTTCGTAAATATTTTATGAATATGTACTGCTACATTGAACCGCCCAAAATGATTCTTTCGATCGGATGGAATTGTATGAGTATTTGAATCTCTTAATGTTGTTACAATTAAGCAATCTTAAGCTCATTAGGTTCATCTCAATGAGGTTCTCAATTTGATTACAAGTTTATCAGATTTGAAGATCATCTAATCTCCTAAAATATATTCTAAAGCTTCTCATAATTGTTTAAGTGTGCTATTTGGGCCCACTTGGACTTAGATTAAGATAATTTATTATTTCATTTATATTGTCTCATGAAGACATTTCATTTGTTCTAGAATTTGAGTGAGAAAATTTTATGTCGTCTCTCTAAGACATTTCATTTGTTCATGAATTTATGTTCTCCCGAGCTTGTTCAAACCGACTGACCCATCATAGGTTTCTACTTAGGTGGTTGTCTAGTGCGTTTAGGGTGTTGGAAGACTCTCGACCCAATCGGGTGTAAGTCCTTTTGTGAAGAGTGTTTTTATCTTAGTAGTTGAACCTCTTCTTTTCTTTCTTTCTAATGTCATCTACGCCACTTCGACAGGTATAAGTCTCACCTCTTGAAACCCCACCTACACTCATAGGATAGAGTTTCATTTCTTTGACTATAAAGTTACCGAGGTCTTCGTGGACAACGCAATTCACGGATTGCTAACCGATGATCTTTGGACATGTTGGGTCGACTACCTTCACGACTAGGTACGCTTAAAGTTCTAGTTGCTTGGGATAACGTGTTCGTGGTACCCCGACTTGTCTACCTCTACCTCTTAGGATTACTCCACCCTTCCTCTTGTTTTGCCCATTTGAGCCTTGTTACTCCTTTGACTTCATTGATATCATCTTGACGACCCGATTACCGATGAGCTGCCGCCGTTTGGGTGTTAGACTTGTAAATACATAAGAATTGTGTGGTATACAAATCAAGAAAAAAGTCATAAGCCCTCCCTTCTTATTTCCAATTAAGGACTCGTTAGGGGTGGTTTTGTTGCGGGCACTGCGCTAGTTGGTGTTTGTTAATTTTGTCGTAGCATTTTTCGCACCGCAATATGTTATAGCATCATTTTAACGATGTGATTGTTCAAGAGAGTCCGCATTTTGCTAACTGTTAATTACTCTAATACCCTACTTTTTTTTTTTTTTAATTTTCGAGCTACTATATGCGCCCTAACTCCTCATTTTCGAGTGACTATCTATGCTCGAAGCTGAGGGATAAGGTGATTGGAAGTGTTTTTATTTATGTAAAAACGAGGAACAGTCTATATTTCTTCAATTTCTATGAGTATATTTTTAATGGTCTTCATTTTCGAGCGGATTCGACCTTTCCTGTTGGTTTTTCCAAGCATTCATTTGTTTTCGTTGTTGTGAACTTTGCTTCCGAGGGGATTCTTTCTTGTAGAACTTGTTCCTCAAATGAGTTTGTTTTATTGTCATATCTGTGAAACCCTTTTTCGGTTGAATTCCTCCTAATCCTTTCTATGGGTTTGTTCTTTCACAGTAATTGTGGATTTAAGATATCTATATATATATATATGGCAACAGATTAGGCATAGTACTGCATCACCTCATAATGACTAAAGTTATTGATTCTACTTGTAAGGTTTAACAAACAATGAATTTGAATCTTTTGATTCCTTACATTTTTGTCCAAAAAAGTGTTCAAAATTATGATTATAAAATTTGCAATTTTATCCCAAATCTACTTTTATCTTCTTCCATGAACCTTGGAAAAAGTTGCAAGACATTTTCTCCAACGCAGAGAACACCACAGAATGCATTTTTCATAAATTAATCTTTAACATACTTTAATTCAAGAAAAGAGCTCTTCGTCAACACTAAATAAAAATTATTAGTAAGACCACGTCCACAAAGAATATTCATCAAAGCAAAAGTCAACAAAAATGTATACTTTAAATTTCCTTAAAAATTAGCAGTTTTTTTTAATTATTAATGAAAACAGCTCTTTGATAGCTCTTCTCATCAAAAGGCCGCTAATTTATTTATTTATGTTTTCTATGATAAGGAGTTTGGTTTCATTCAATCAAATGAAGTGATAAGCATAAGACCCATTCCAATTCCAACGTATCATCCTTATCTGTAATTGGGCAACACAGAAAACAGCAGCCAAAACAAGCTGTAATTGAAAATTACTTGCTTAATAAAATATTAGCGGCAATTTATATGTTGTTTTTTGTTTTTAGAACTCATAGCCAGCATTTCTTATGTAATGAGAATAATATGGGAGTTCCACGTATCACGTATAAGTCCAAAGTTTAAAGCTGTGCATCCAGCCCAGATTTCTCTTAGAAATTTACATAAGCTGTACATAATTCTTATGTATTTACATATTTCACACCTAAACTTTCTTATTTCCATGCATAGCACTTGGGTCCTTTAAACTGAAAGGCTGTATTTTCATTTTTAAGAAATGGCAAAAATGAAAATCTAGTTTGAGATATGTAAATACATAAAAATTGAGTGCTATGTATGTAAATGCCCACTTTTTTTTGGGCGAGTTAAACTGTTAACCCAACACCTTGGAAATCTTCGTTTTAGTTCAACAATAATTTTTATTAATGTTACTGCATTTCTTTGAAAGCCTGAATAGGTGAACAGTCTAGAGTTATCTTTCTATGTCAACTAAAGGACATGGTTCTTGTGATCTTTTGATCCATCTCATCCTCTTTCACCCATCAAAATAAAAAAAACGAACATGATAATATAGGAAAGTTTGAAAAGAAGGCCACAAAAAAAATACTTGCTCCTAGGGGTGTAATTGAGCTGGCCCCAACTCGGCTTGATAACTGGCTTTTGGATTGGGCTCAATGAGTTAACAAGCAAAGCTCAAATAAGTTTTGTCTGGAGTTGTTAGCTTGTGAGCAGACTCGTTTCGAAAATATCTAATATACGATATACTCAAAATATGTTCAAATTAAACAATATATCTTTTAAATTATTAAAAATATTCAAAAATGTGGTATTTTACATTTTATATCAAGTGGTTTCTTATTAATTATCTACTAAATATTCATTTTATTTGTCATTTTATTAAAACATTAGCTTGAATTAATATCATTCTCTATTTTATAATAAAAAATCCGACTCACATTGTAGAATTAAGCTTGAGTTAGAGTAGTTAATCAAGCTCAAGTTCAAACCCAAGCTCAATTCAAACCCAAGCTCAAGCTGAGGGTGACCCGAGCATGGAGCTTTTACATCCCTACCAGCTACTCACCTTTCCTCTGCATCACTAACCATCTTTTAGTGTTACGCAATTAATCTCAAATAAATTTGGCACATAAATTCTCCAGGTTTCTCAAATTTTTAAGCTGCCCAATTGTCAATCTCAGCCTAACAGAATAAACTCTTCATTTCCACAAAAATAACAAAAACTCAATTTTATACAAAAAAAAAAAGGCATAAAAAGTCAGACATTAGCGCTGTTTGGACCTAAAAATCATTTCCTACATGCCAAGTGGAAGAAGTTCAGTCTAAGGCCAAAACTGATCAATCCCCAAACAAAACAGCGGCCATCAAAACAAGAAGGGAGGAGCATTAACTTATCATCTCTAATCCGACAAAAAAGTCAGAGTTTTTAGGATAAAATAAGCATAATTTCGTTATTTAAGTAATCTGAGCTAGACTGATAAACATGCTCAGCTATGCTTGTTGAAAGAGTCTACTTTACAAAGGGGACGGCAAAAACATCACATCAACTTGCCAATAACAACTCATAGATGTCCCATAGAGAGATAAAAAAGAAAAATACATCTACAAAACTTATCATATAATATAATAAGCTGTAAACATATACATTATTTAAAAGAAAAAAATGCTGAAAACAACATAAAGTTACTGCTTATCCACAGAACTCATAAAAAGCTGAATTTTTCAACAAATTACAGTTCAAAATTTGAATTTGTCAACCATTCACAGTTCATTTGATAATAAGAAGACTTGAGAAATATAACACCAACTTATCCAATAAATATAAGTGGGAGAAAGCTAATATTACAAGACAAGAAACTATAGGTACAAGACAACTAAGCAAAGAGAAGGTTGCTAATAAAAGACAACTCATCTTACTGCGCATATCCACTTATAAAAAGGATGAATTGAAAATAAAATACATACATTTCTTCTTCAGAACAATATGGGATGGCCTTCTGCTCCAAATCCATGTAAAAATAAAACCAAATATTCAGCACAACATATACCGCTCACTTCAAGAGCTTCTTTTGATGATAAATGGTTAATAAATGAGAGAAATTTGACCACTGAAACCAGAATTACTGGCATAAATCAAAATATTATCAAGTCAACATAAGATCATTGGTTCCCAAATGAGGAGGGCGCATGGACACATGAACTTCATGTTCTTCCGGACCAACACGAAGCTTAGGAACCATAATCTCAAGAATTGTTCCAGTTTCATCATAGTAAGCTTCAATATTAGCATCCTCTGGAATACGAGTTGGTAGGGGAATTTCTCTTACAAACTCCCCAGGAGGACAATGTTCAGCACAAGAATCCGCGAGCTTAAAGGTTCTATCGTGTCTCTTTAAATAAGGCATCCGTCCAGTACTGACACAAGATATCTTAACAATTCCATGGTTGAGACTGTTCCTCCAACAAACCTTAACTCTGTGTTGATCAGAGAAGGACAAACTCAGCATTATAAGATAACCCTCCTCATCCTCATATATTGTTTTTGCAGCAGTAACTGGACCGTATACATGCTTCATCAAACCACTAAATTCATTGATCCAAGAGGGCTCCCCAGGGTGGATGTCCGTATCTTGAGACCTCTCTGAATAAGGATTAGAAGGAAAGCAGCAATCATCATCCATAGCCTGATGGAATAAATCCTTCTTGCGCTTGTTCGAATGTGGAGAAAGATCCATCAAATCATGATTCAATGGATCGGTTAATAGGTTCAAGTCGGAGCCACTAAGTGGTATTCTAGGAGGGAGATTTATAGTGCTTTTCAGCGGAAGGGATCTCTCAAGCTCCAAATCCATGCTGGGAAGATTTCTCCAGGAACCGAAATCACTAGCCTCAACTGGTATTGTGAAATTAACATCCCTTCCGGTAAGCTCAAACCATTTCTTCTGATCCGCCTCTGAAACGCTAGTCAAATTGGGCAGCCTCACAACCTCAATCCCATGGATGCACTGTGGATTCGACAAACCCCGGTAATGCTTGCGTTGCATCCGGTGGGATCGGACGAAACCCCTGTCAACACTGAAGGGGAATCGAGGTTCACCAGGACGACAGTGACCATTCATGTAGCTTCGTAGCTGCATCTTCCCCAGCGCATTCTCTGCCCTCTCCTTGAAAACCCACATGTACATATTCTCCATATCGTGCTGGACCAAGAAAACATCAAGTTTCAGATCAGATTTGTCAAAATCAAACAACCCATTGCCATCGTTGATGATCTTCGCCTTCAACTTGTTAGAAAGAATGGGTTTGAAGTAGAAGTTGAAAAAGAACCATGCTCCCCAAATGCTGTCCCCCCTCCTCAGGCACTTGCGGTTGCAGAGTTTTGGGAGATGAAGGACGGTAGCCTCGGCCTCGTAAATCTGGTGTCCGAGGCTAACGTCTAGGGTTTCTAAGGCATCCGAGCTCCAGAAAAGTGGAGGGGACCTATCAGCAGGGAGGGGAAGGTTGATGTCAGGCGCATGGCGGGCGTGAACTAGCTGTTTAAGTGGTTGGATCAAGAGCTCGCGCTCAGTGCTATCATTACTGCTATCATTGGAAGAACCCATGGCGTTTGCTCCGGCGCCTGTGGGCTCAATTGATAATACAGTGGACAGATGGTTGTTCTTCAAGGAAAGTGAAGGCAGAAGGGTATCACCCATCTCACTCTCTCTATCAAATCTCTAATTTTCCTCCCACCTCCCGACGCTGAACTGCTCTGCAACACGAACTAACTATCTCCCTTGTGGATTTATCAAATTTCCAACACACAATATGAAGAGCATTCCCATAAGAACCCACAGGAATCCATCCCATAAATACCATCATCAACAAACAGTGAGCAATAAACAGGTCAAAGAAATCCAACCGACTTTTCACAAGAGAACAACAGAAACAACAAACAGATTAACAAGAATACAAATCTCCTCTGTGTGGAAACGATCAAACACAAAGATATAGAGCGAGGAAAGGGGGAGTAAGAAACGGGATAGGTGTCTGGCCCTCGGGAATGCCGGTATCAGAGAGGACAAACGATTTCCCAATCTACAGATCACAAGCCAGCCAACGATGGAGACACAAAGGGACGGAGAGATTTAGAAACCCTAACCCTAGTCGTAATCGTTGACAGTGGTTAAGAGACCTCAGATTAATTAAAACCCTTTCGATCGGAACTAAGCAGAGGCTCAACCATCTGCTGCGTTCCCCCCTCTACCAATGCCGGCATCCGAAAGAGCGAGCGAGCGAGCGAGCGAGACTGGAGCAGAAAACTCTAAGACGTGTTTGATTGCATCTTATTTAAATTTCGATTTAACATTAAAAATGAATATTAAATTTAACGTTCAGTCAAATTTAATTTTCTAAAGTTTTTTTTTTTTTCACAAATCATTTCTTTCAGGGCTCCATTAAATTGAATTTTATCTTATTTTTATTTTTCTTTACTTATCATTTCTTTTCAGATATAATTTCAAATTTATTAAATCTAATTATGAGGTAAATTTATTCTTTTATCACTCATCGAATATAAATTCAAATTTATTAGATTTGATAAAATCTATTTAACATAAATCAAAGTTGGAGGCAATCACTTTTAATATAAATCTAGGTTGCAACTGAACACTGCCTAAGAGTTATCATTTGTTAGGTAACGACAGGGAATTCAACCGTCAAACTCTTTTCTTTGTTACTATTTTTCGGCGGTGTTTTGTTGGGTAATGTGAAGACCCGGTCCACCGTAATTTAATTAATTGTTGTTAATTAGTTTTTTAATTAAGAATCACCTATCATTCACCTACCACATTCTACCTACCTCTCACCTATCGCTCTCATGGTTTCTATAATAGCCTCTTTGGCTTAAAAGAAAAGCCTAACAAAGCCAATATTCAAGAAAGGGCCAAACTAAGTTCTCTAAGAGAGTAAGAGAGGAAGAGAGAGAGAGAGAAAGGGAGAAAAGAAAATAGAGATTTTCTTGTAAACGTCGAAGCGCTCGACGGTGCAATTCTTCGAAGAAATAAAATCGTCTGTAGCTCCATGGATATAGGCAAATCTGTCGAACCACGTAAATTTATGTGTTGCTCTCGTGTTTTTTTTTGCGTGCAATTTTTCTCGTTCCATTTTTCACTTTATTGTCGTCGTTTTTCACAAAAAACTAGTATCAGAGCTTTAGTTTGGATCTAAGGAAGAACGATAAGCGGAGACGAAGTGATGACATCGGGGATCGAGAAGTTCAATGACACAGATTTTGCTTACTAAATGATGCAAATAGAGGACTACCTCTATGGAAAGAAACTTCATCTTCCGTTACTGGAAAAACAACCATAAAAGATGGACAAGGCGGAATGAAATCTGTTGGATCGACATATTCTGGGGGTTATACGATTAACCCTATCGAGATCGGTTGCCCACAACGTCATCAAGGAGGGGGTTATACGATTAACCCTGTCAAGATCGGTTGTCCACAACGTCATCAAGGAGCGAACTACTACAGATCTCATGGCGACTTTATCAGGTATGTATGAAAAGCCATCAGCGAATAACAATGTACATTTGATGAAAAAATTATTTAACTTGAAGATGACGGTTTGTTGAAATTAATTTTGATGATGAGATACATGCGCTGATTTTGTTGGCTTCATTGTCAAATAGCTGGGAAGCTATGAGGATGACAGCTAGTAGTTCAACAGGTAAATATAAGCTGAAATATGATGATATTCATAATTTAATTTTGGCTGAGGAGGTGCGCATGAAAGATTTTGGCGAGACCTCGGGTTCGAGTTCGACACTGATTATTGATTTCAGGGGGAGATCATAATACAGAAACTCAAAGCGAGGAAGATCAAAATCAAAGTCTGGTCAGCAGACAATCTGCTGGAATTGTGGCAAGGCTAACCACATAAAAAGGAACTGCAAGAATTCTAAGAAGGTGAATGATGGCGCTAATATTGTAACTGAAGAAATACATGATGCACTATTTCTGACAGTTCACAGTTCTGTTGATGATTAGACACTGAATTCAGGGGCTTCCTTCCATATTCTTCCCGTCATGAGTTAATGTGAAATTATGTTGCAAGTAACTTTGGGAAAGTATGTCTAGCTGATGGAAAAGCTCTGGACGTGGGAGGGGAGGGAGATGTTGATATTGCACTCCCTAACAAGAGCAAATGAACTTTGCAAATGGTCAGACATGGTCCTGAGTTGAAGAAAAATCTCATCTCTATTGGACAACTCAATAATGGTGGTCATTTGGTAGTGTTCTCGATAGCACCTGGAAGGTTACTAAATGACCATTAGTATTGGAGTAGTGGCTCGGGGTAAGAAAACTGACACACTATATATGACTACATGTTTACTCAGGCGATGACACATGAGTCAGAGATGCATTATGAGAAAGCAAAAGAATGTCAATTTCCTGAAAAGTGATAGAGCGCCAAAGACAAGAAAACCAGACATTGTACAGACAAATGGTGGAGAACCACAGAGTTATGAAGAAATCTTGCAAGATGAGAATTCGAGCAAGTAAGAGCTGACTAAGGAGGAGACAAATTCCCTATCAGAGAATTATACTTGAGAGCTAGCAAAACTTTCACTAAGGAAGAAGACATTGCACAACAAGTGGGTATACCAGGTGAAGACTGTGTTTGGTAGCAGTAAGAGGTACAAGGCTGGACTTGTTGAAAGGGCTTTCAGCAAGGGCAAGATATTGCTCATGCAGTGGAAGTTATAAGCAGATACAGAAGTAACCTAGGAATGAGTTTGGTAGTACAATGCTATGTTGACGGTGATATTGCAACTAAGGGTGTTACTCGTGAGAAGTTGAAGTCATGCTCAACTTCAACTGGTCTTCTGGCATGAAGACAGGGGCTTCGAGTTGCAGAGGTGGAAGATATCATGTTTGAGGAAAAGGTAGGTACAACTAGTAGATGATGCAGCAAGTAGGTAATGCAGTCAGTGTCCCAGTTTCCAAGTAGGAGAATTGTTGGGTAATGTGGAGACCCGATCCACCGCAATTTAATTAAATGTTGTTAATTAGCTTCCTAATTAAGAATCTCACATACAGCTCACATACTTTCCCACTTACCGCTCGCATACCTCATCTCACCATACCGCTCACCTACCTCTCTCATGGTTTCTATAAATAGCCTCTTTTGGCTTAAAAGAAAAACAAAGCAAAGCCACAAGCCAAGCAATGGTCAAACCAAGTCCTCTAAGAGAGTAAGAGAGGAAGAGAGAGAGAGAGAGAGGAAGTGAGAGAAGAAAATAGAGATTTTCTTGTAAACGCGAGACGCTCGACGATGTAATTCCTCGAAGAAATAAAATCCTTTGCAGCTCCATGGACTTAAACAAATTTGTTGAACCACGTAAATTTGTGTGCCGCTTTGGTGTTTTTCTACGTGCAATTTTTCTCGTTCCATTTTTCACTTTATTATCGTCTTTTTTCACAACATGTTTGGTTGATACTTGAATTTACGTTAAGCAGGATTTATCAACTCTGCCTCATAGGTGGATTTATCTAACCTTACGAGTGACGACAAAGACGACAAGTGACATCCCTCAAATCCACCTCACATGTGGATTTAATAAATCTGGATTTACCTTGTAATATTGGAGGGAATACGAGAAATTTCAAATTAACAAATTGTTGGATTTAGCTTCTGTTTTTTTATGTTTAGGGGATTTAAATTGAATCTAATGCTATCAAACACCTCCTTCAAGTGCTAAACATTGCTTTCCAGGAATATTCTTTGATAAGCAGTGGATTAAGGCCAATCATTCAATAAAAAAAATAAATAAAAATAAATAAATAAATAAATAAAAACTCATTTGACCTTGTCTCCCCTCTCTTTCTCTCTTAATAAGAGAGTTTACACTTTATGATACTCTAATTCAATAATCTATTCATGTTGATTATTATAAGAGGAGCATTTAATTAGAATTATTTTAAAAAGTCAGAATAATCTTTTTTTATTCTTTATTGGCTAAATTGTTCAAAAAAAGTCAGCATTTGTTGCCAAATGGTTTTAAGTAGGCGCTAGTGAGCAAAAAATTTTTGAGTCGCTTTCAAAAATTGAAGAATATGTTGAGATTTATGCTTATTCTATTTATTTTTATGTTAATTAATCATATGTAGTACTCAACTAAAAAGTTGATACCATATAAATTTTGTTCACTTTATTTGACCCAATGTTCACTTTATCCAATGTTTAATTAAAATAGGAATATATATCATGAATAATCTCAACTTTACCGAGGCTTAAAATTAATCAGAAACTAAATCAAATCACGGAATAATGAGATCATGCCAATTCTATAAAAAGTAGAAACAAAAAATTAAAATAGATGCACAATCAAAACAACCAGAAAAACATACGAATTTACGTTAAAAAACCACAGTGTCGCACCACCATAAATTTTCCCTATCAAATTTAGAAGTTTTTACAAAGAACACACATAAGTTTTCTGGGGATCTTATGCAATGTACATGTTCTTGCACTGCTATCCCTGTGAATTCTCATCCTGAGGATCTTCCTGGTTGGACCTAAATCCTTTATTGCGAACTCATTTAATAATTGTTTCTTCAAATCCATGTTTTTCTTTATATCTGCCCTTAAAACCAGCATGTCATCTACATACAAAAGAAGCAAAATATAGCAATTGTCAAAGTGTTTGATGAAGATTGGGGTCTGTCTTGCACTTCATGTACCCAATGTCTGACATAAACATTCAAACCTCTATACCGCTGTCTCGAGGCATGCTTCAAGCCATAAAGGCTCTTTTTTAATCTGCAAATCAAACCTTCTTTTCCCCATAACCTTGTAACCTTGTTGTTGCACCATATATAGCTTTTCTTCCATATTTCCATGTAAGAAAGTTGTTTTTACGTCTATCTGTTCCAAATGTTTATCTTCCACTGCTACCAAACTCGAAAAAACCCTGGTAGTAATCATCTTTACCACTAGGAAGAAGATCTCTGTATAATCCACTCCTTCATTGTGCTGGAATCTTTCACAACAAGTCTTGCCTTGTAGCGCTTGCTATCATATAACTCCTCTTTCAGCTTGTAGACCCATGTGCAGTGCTCTTTTGCCAATTGGTAGTGTTGTCAAATCTTAAGTTTGATTTGACTCCAAAGATTACATATCTTCTTCCACGGTAAGCTCCCCCTCCCTTGAGTCTTCAACTTGAGTGGCCCCCCCAAAGCACTTTGATTCACCATTATCAGTTAGTGACAAGTAGTGTAGTGAAGAAGAA